GCAACCAGACGTGCCTTGTTTCTGATAACATTGCCTTCCTCATCAGTCTTATTTTTGAATATCCACTTAGTCCCCACAGTGTTGACATTAGGTGGTGGTGGCACTAAGTCCCACACATCGAGTCGCACAAACTGTTCCAGTTCTTCGTGATATGCAGCAACCCAGAAATCATCCTCTAAGGCTTGTTGAACTGTGGCGGGCTCAGAGAATGATATGAAGCAGGCTAGCTTGACCATAGCTTTGAAATCCATCTTTTTGTTTCTGGTTTGTCGCTCACCAAAGACGTCACCAATGACATCATCAGAGGAGTGATTCTTGTGAACAACCTCTTGATCTACAGTATGGTCAGATGCAGCATTAGGTTCGTCACCCTCGATAGGTTCTTCATCATCCTGAGTCTCGATGTGTGACACACTGTTGTCAGAGGTACCATTCTCTTCAGATATGACTTCTTCAAGGATGCAGATGTTCTGATCATCAAACACAACATTTATGCATTCCCCCACCATCTTAGTCCGATAGTTATACACTCTGAATGCTCTACTGTTTACTGCATACCCCAAGAACATCCCGGTGTCACTCCTTGAATCGAATTTCCCAAGATTGTCCTTATCATTGAGAATATAGCAGACACACCCAAAGATGTGAAAGTAGCTCAGATTCGGTGTTTTGCCATTCCATATTTCATATGGCGTGGATTTGGTTCCAGGCTTGACGTACACACGGTTGATGATGTAACACGCTGTGTTTATGGCTTCAGCCCAAAATCGCGGTGCCACATTATTTCCATGTAGCATGGCTCTGGCCATTTCTTGGAGTGTCCTGTTTTTTCTCTCCACTACGCCGTTCTGTTGAGGAGTCCGGGGTGCAGAATATTGGTGTCTGATCCCCTGGCTTTGACAGAACTTTTCAAAGGCATCATTCTGGAATTCACCACCAGGATCACTTCGGATCTGAATGATCCCGCCTTTGTCTGTTTTCAGCTGCAGCGCAAGTATCTTGAAGCTTCCAGTGGCATCAGATTTTTCTCTCAAGAACCTGACCCATGTATATCTCGAGAAATCATCAACAAGTACGAAGATGTATTTCTTCCCATTAATGCTCTCAGTCTGAATTGGTCCCATGAGGTCCATGTGAACTAACTCAAGAATTCGTGACGAACGTATCTCACTTAGGGGTTCGTGTTGAACTTTTATCTGTTTTCCCTTTTGACACGCTGCACAGACGGTATCCGTGGAGCTCTGAAGGTTCGGTATTCCCCTTACAACTTTTGCCTTCACCAGTTTACTCAATCCCTTGACATTCATGTGTCCTAGCCGTTTATGCCACAAATCCAACTGTGATTCACGAGCTGAGAGACACTTGTTTGAAGCACTCCACATGTAGCAATTGTTTCCAGACCGTATGCCATACAGAACCATGTTTCCATTTTCATCCAACGCTTGACACTCTTTAAGTGTAAATAGCACCTTTAAACCCTCGTCACAAAGCTGACTAACACTGATAAGATTTGCCTTTAAGCCATGTACATAATACACATTGACCAGTTGTGGCTGTTCTTCACCACAGAGATTTCCAACTCCAAGGATTTTTGCTTGTCCTCCATCACCGAAGGTAATCTGTCCTCCTTTAACTTTCTGCAGTTGGTCAAAGCTTTCAAGGTCTCCGGTCATGTGTCTCGAACAACCACTATCAAAATACCATGCACTCTCTGTTTCACCATTTGTTGAAGTATAGGCAACATTGCTCACTATTTCTGGAATAGTGGTTGTGGTCCTAGCAAAGTTGCACACGACAGTTTCCTCAGACAAGTCCTTTTGAGAACCACTAGCCATCACTTGATCCCCATACAGAATTCGTTTGTCAACCCAAACCTTACCAAAATGCCTTGGTTCTGGATAACAATGGTGTTGGCTCCAGGCTTTTCTAAGAATTTTCTTGAGTTTGAAGCATTTCCTTTTTATATGGCCGGTTTTGTGACAAAAGAAACATGATCTTTTCTTTCTACCTCCTCTGATCGGCTTGACATTTGTACCTCCTCTCAGGCAAGTGGTCTCTTCTTTTGTGTCAGTAGTCACAGCGTTCTCTATTGCTTGAGTTTTTTCAGCAAACTCCTTTGACAGTTCACTAACAGATGTTCCTCCATAAACAAAACCCGGAATTGGCCCAGCTTGTTTAGTGGGACGATCCACCAGAACTCCTCCTGAATATCCCAGACCCCAATTCTTCTTCGGAGGTTGTCCTGCACACAGAATCTTGTCCAAGGACTCAGCTCCAGTGTTGAGCATCCTAATCTTTTTATGATTCTCAACCAGCTGACTTTGCAGATCTCTTGCCTTTTCCTTTCAAAACTCACAACTTCCCTCAGATTGTCAAGTTTATCTTCAAGAGCCTTCCTTCTTTCTTGCTCTTTAGTTAACTCATCCCTCAAGTGCAAGCCCACTTCACTGTTCAGATTAATCGACTTGTCAGATTCATTAACTGATAGAGCCGTTCGTTCCATCTCAAAGATGTTCAGTTGTGCTTTCATTAGTGCCTTGTCTTTCACTAACTGAAGGTTTTCGGTACTCAACTTCACCCAGTTGTCGTATAGTTTTCGGTACTCAGCCTTGGGATCTATGTCATCATCTTCTGACTCAGACTCTGAATCTGTATGCAGAGGTTCAGGTTTCTTCTCATCTTTAACAGTCAGAGCCATAAAGTTCAGCATAAGGTTTTTGGTTTCTGGTTCTTCCTCCTCATCAGTGTCAGAATCTTCGAACACAATCATGGATTTGTCTTTACTTTTCAGGTTGTTAGGACATTCGGCCCTAGTATGTCCGAATCCTTTACACTCGCCACACTTCAATTCTTTCCTCTTGGTCAATGGGCAGTCACTCCTGAAATGACCAAAACCTTCACACTCATGGCACTGAAGATCTCGTTTCTTTCCAAGACGGTCACCTTCGGATCTCTTGTAATTTCCTCGATCTGAATCTGCTATTTGATCCTTGGTGAACCGATTTTGCCCCTTTTCAACTCTTTTGAGCATCTTGTTGAAATTCTTAGCCAGAAGACTTAGGTTTTCTTCCACTTGTATCATCCTTTTATCTTCATCAGTAACAGTGAAAGCAATACTTTTCTGACCACCTTTTTGATCATCTGTTGCCTCCATTTCTTCTGCCTTAAGTAGTCCAACAAGTTTGTCAAACTTGAGATTGTCTGTATCTATGGAATACTTCACAACAGTTTTGTGAGCTGCAAATTTCGGAGGCAGACATCTAAGCAATTTCTTGACCAGTTTCTTGTCCTTGTACGTTTTCCCAAGGACGGCAGCTTCATTTGCAATAGTGCTCAGCTTGGTAGTGAAACTCGCAACAGACTCATCCGGACTCATTTTGAGGTTCTCGAATTCAGAAGCCAAATGATCAATTCGAGTCTTCTTAACACTTGTATCGCCTTCAAAATGATTCACCAGAGTATCCCAGGCTTCCTTTGCTGAATCACACCCTTGAATGATGCCAAATTCATCCAGATCAACCGCAGCAAAGATAGCAGAAATAGCCTTAGAGTTGAACTTCGAAAGATTTTTTTCAGTCTCAGTCCAAGTATTCTTGGGTTTTGGAATCTGAGTTTTCTTTCCATTCTCGTCCTCAGACACAACTGTTGGATACTCCCATCCTTGTTCAACAGCTGTCCAAGCGTCCTCATCAATGGCCCTGATGTGATGTCGCATACGAGCTTTCCAATGACCAAAGTTCCCTGCACGAAGAATCAGTGGCTTATGCACAGCAATCAACTCCTTGGATGTCTCCATGAGTTCCACAGCCTCCACAGAATCTAAACCTGATATAGATCCACTGATCTAGAGAGGCAACCCGCTCTGATACCAAATGAAAGGGATATAACACAGAGACAATGAGTTGAATACACTGCTTTCGCAAAACATCTTTTTGCCTTTTATTAGAAATCACTTAGACAATCTCAAACGATCGGTCTATTCAGTTTTACACGACCTTGCACAGCAATTCGACACTGACCGATTCCTAATCTACCCGACCTAACACAACAACAGTTGTGGAACTAGATTACAATCACTCACCAAAAACCCTAAACTCTCACTAAGTTTCTTGTGATGATGCTCTCTCAAATCTTGCTCAGAACGGCTAACCCTACTAAGCTCATTTTCGTTGGAATATATACACCTTCGCCTTGTGTATATCTCCTTTCCTTTTTCTGTTGGATTCCAATCTCTCTTTTCTTGTTACGAAAATCCTCTTCCTTACCTTGTATTAATAGTGCCACGTCAGCATTCCTTCAGCATTCTACGTGTCACTTACGAACTTGTGTTATTCCCGCTCTTCTGTGCGTCACACATCTTACTACCTTGTAAAGCCACGACTCTTACAAGAGTCTTCAAGCAGGTTCTTTCTTTTCCCATCCCAGATTTTGCAAGAACTATTGTTGCTTGCCGAAACAATCAACGAACCGTTCTGATTGAAGTGAGCTTTATTCACGCGGACGCACTTGTCCGTTTTCACCTCCCAGATCGAAATCATTTAGCCGAACGAACCAGACACAATCAGATTCGACAGAAGATTGAGATTGACGCAGAAGTCAAAATTGGTGTGGGCCTCTAAGCACCTTAGGGCAATAGCGTCTCAGATTTGAAGCTGCAATGCAATCATCGGAAGTGGACGAAGTGTAGTGCGAATCAGAGAACCAAGCTAGATCGGAGATGCCACTAGCGTGACCTTTGTATCGATGAATAAGAGTGATCGCCGACCAGAGGATCATGGAAGGGAAGGGTTTGCTTAGTCGTGTTTTCTTAGTTTAATGAATGCTAGATTTGTCAGATTGAAAAATAGAAGCTCTATTTGAGAAGATTTAGTTTTTTTGGGGCTATTTTTGAGAATTGTCCATTAATAAAAATGTGGTCATTTAAATGTTTTTGTTGTCGAATAAGAAAATAAAATCAGGATTTGTTTCGATTTTTTCCGCACATTTGCACTCTTCCTGCATTCCAAAGACAGGTTCATGTGCTGCGCCTGCGACAATGAATTATATGATGCTTAGACCATCCTATCAAAGACTAGAGATATCATCATTTTTTCAAACTGGACATCAGATACTCTATACATAACACATACGAAAGACCAAAAGATGAATATAAAACACATTGTGTTAGAGCAGCCCCACAGTGCAATTTCCCTTACACCAATGTTGTTTTGCACCTTCAATCTTCATCACCATTTGTTAACTCGAATGTTCCACAACTGTTTTAGCTCCCTACTTTAAAAAAAACCGCTTCCGAGGAACCCCCTGCAAGTATTCCTCAGATTCAGCATCAAAAACACAATCCTCATCTGAAAATTCCAAGTAATGAGGGAGTTTTCCTTACCAGATTCCTGATGGCTTCTTGCTTTCCTCCCTGAATATGGAAACAACTTCTCAGTTATTGTTCAAAACAACCGTAAACGAGTAACCAATAGTTTAAGAAGCACCATTGGAAACAATTTTTTACCGCGATTTTCCAGAGAAGGCATCGTTGATTTGGTCAGGGGTTGGCCTTTCAGAGTACGTTGATATTAAGATGTATTTTTCCTTCCCATTTTCCTCATTCACCCTCTTGTAAAGCTCATACCGATAAGGATAAGACATCCTGACAAAATTCAAGTAAAAATATTCAGAATGAATAGACAATGTATGTGTTTTTCTTGATAACTTTGTTAAGAAACTTTATATAGCTAATGACCGAACAACCGTACCTTAGGGCGCCCATAATCGGGTATTGTGTTCCGGCATAATAGAGAAGCCGGAATTCATAGCAGTTGTCAAACGTTAAAGCATATTCCAGCCTTTTCTCCCTGCCCATTGTCTGAGAAACGAAGAAAATGATAAGCAACGTCGTAACCTTCATATCAGATGGTTTAGGGAATAACTGTTGTGTGCTTACTTGCATTATGCCACTTGAAGCGGGTAAGTCCTGAATAATAATGTATATATCAAACATGTAACCCACATGAGATGACAATGTTACCAGATAGTCTCTCTATAAATTATGCAAACAGAAAATGTACCTTGAGTTTAGGATTGATAAGCACAACTGGCCTCTTCCCAGCAGCAGTAGTCATCGCTTGTAGGTCCTAACAAAAGGATGAGTTTAATACGTTAAAGTGCATGACGAATCTACCATTTCAAGCTCCTTACATCTATAATGCAGTTTCCAACGGCGTTTTGTGGAGCCACTAAGATGAACAAGTCGTCTTCGTCATCAACTTCATTACCACCTGTAATCGCAAAAACAGGTTTGTTAATATGTGCCTCAAAAGAATAAAGAGCAGCATAATGTATATTAATTGTATCCAAAAAAATATATCCATCTTGATAGCATAACAAGTTTGATTCTGAAGCTTGGTGCATTTTTTGTAACATTCTCTTGTTACCAAACTCATGAGACACCGAGAGGTATTTCTTAAACATGGTTTCGTCTATCTATTTTGAAAAGTACTCGGTAAGTACTCGGTTTCGAATATTACCAATGGCACCAAGCTTGACGAAAGTTCCCAAAGTTTCATCATCACCCCAGTCCATATATTCTAAAATCTTTCGAGTGCCTGCTAACTGTAGTGGCATCCCAGCGAGTGCACCTTCCCCCATTGAACCTTGAACACAAACCTTCAAGAGGAAAGAAGCTGAATGAACAAGAATTTTAAAACAGTATACAAGTGACATCACTTAGCCTTCAAAATCTTGTCTACCTTCACTCTTTTTCCATCATCAGCGAATGACAAGGCTAGAGTTCGAACAAGTTCCATCAAGGTTCCTATCCGGTAAACATCCTAAGTATCACAAAAGCTCATGATTATTGATAAAATATATGAATCTTCAGAAACCATGTTAATGATTAACTTACCATTTCTGGATTTAGCTCAGGGATATTTATGTCCACCTATTCATTTGATAACATAATCATTTCCAGGCAAAGAACTGTTTTTAAGTATTGTGAAATAAAGACGACATGCGACATTGCAAATAGATTGGTGCGGATTAGCCTCACCCGAAGACGGGTGTTTCCATCCTTGATAGATCTAATTGTGGCTTGCAGCACATCTTCATAAAAATAAGACCTGATATCCCTCGAATGAGGAATGTTATTCAATCTTGTTGGTATCCCTCTCCAGTTATCCTGAATAAAAAAATGTTACATAGCATATATAAGAACATCTCCAACTTCCTGCTACTTGCTAGCTGCAAAGATAAGTATTATTCAAGGACCTGAACAGCAGATGCTTTATCTGCAGGGACCTGGTTCATTATTAGCAACGCTTGCATAGAGCGGTAACCAAATAGAAGTTAAAAAACAATTAAACGGAGTAATTTACTCCCAAATGTAAAAATTGGACACAAAATCTAAAAGACACTAGAAAGTTCATGGATCTATTTTTCTATGTTGGTGTGGCCATCAAACTTGTATGAGATCAAAATTCTAATTGATTATATGGAAGCAAAGAGACAGATTACTCAAGAAAGTATTTTCAAAATGACCTAGAGTAGAACACAGCACGACAAAAAGTTATGATTACAAAGATTGGGAAAACTCATCTTGAACTGGTAAACACTGACCCTGCTATCAAGAACTGCACCACGAAAACAATTTTATAAAAATGTGTGACTACTTGCCAGTCCGTATCATTCTTTTTAAGCGTATCTGAGATAGTAGAGTTTGTGTCTCCTCGAAAACCACTTCTTTTGGCCTGTTTGCATCAATCTGTGTTCGAAAGAGATGATACCAAACCAAAAAGATCATTGATGGTATCTCAATACTTCATAGAATCAAAAAGTAAGAGACGAAAACAGAACTCGTAATACCTTGATCATAACATCTGAGTATGCAGAAATAATGGCTTCAGAATTTTGTTTGTATATTAGCAAACGTGCTTTTACCTGCAAATAAAACAAACGCATGAGCTTACAGTTGAAATGGTATTTATGGATTTATTGAGAAAGCAAGTAACAAGTCCAAAAGATGAACCTTCTCTTCTTTATCATCAGGGCGTGTAAGCAGTCTCGCTTTAATTTCGTCCGATTCAGGAGGGTAACTTTTAATATGATAAATTTTTCCAGTCACTGGATCTAACCTTCTACCAACACATCTGTCGATTAGAATTTCATCAGGAACCTGTCATTAAGATTGGCATATAAGCAAAGAAACATAGCCATGCAATAAATGGATACCATATGCAATAAGAGCAATTTGCACGTACATCTAATAAGAGAAAAATGTCGGGCTTGACGTTCAGTTTATCCAGACTTTGCGCCTGCGCAAAAGTCCGTGGAAAGCCATCGAGAAGCCATCCGTTCTTTTTAGCGTCTTCACGTGATAATCTTCTTGCCACCATCTAGAAATGTAGTAGATGTCAGAGGTAGAAAGATAAACTAATACATAAGCAGGTAAGTTAAAATCATTACCGCTATTACGATCTCGTCCGGAACCAAACTACCCGAATTCATGAACTCTTTTGCTTTCTTTCCGATTTCTGTCCCGGATGACACCTCTGCCCTCAAGAGATCCCCCGTTGATATGTGCACCAAACCAAACTGCATGACAAAGAAACAGAAATCTGGTTAAAACTCGAAATACTAACATCAGAAACATAGGAGTCTTTTCTTACAGCAAATGTGCTTTCTATTTAAAAGATGCTATGGAACAATCAATATTCAAGGAAAAATTAGGACCCTATGGATAGCAAGTAAGATTTTATGATTCACACCAAACATTTTATACACATTGTTTAGTATACTAGATAATTTAAATGCATATCCATCTTCACTGCACTCGAGAGAGAAGAAACCACGAGTCAGACCCCACATTAGACAAGAGATCATGGAATAGCATACACGAACCGTCTTATAAGACAAGTACGCACTCTGTTTATCCATTGCTCTGAGCTGCTTTACTGCTGTGTTAGTCTATGTTGATGATGTTTTTGTCGCTAGAAACAATGATGAGGCTATATTTGCTTCAAAGGACTAGTAACAGACGCATTTTTAGTTCAGGCTCCTCAGGTCATTAGGATGCTTTGTTCGTCTTGGTACCTAGAGCCTCAAAACGGAACTACTTGATGAGCAGAGGTCTACATAGCAATTCCAATGGTAAAGATGGCGAAGGTAAAACTACGAAGGGATTGAATATTACTATAGCTAGACCAGATATTTCCAATGTTGTAATCAAGCTCTGCTGCTCTTCCTTGTCACAACACAACACAAAAACATACAGCGATGTCACAGTTTCTGATTAAGCATCTTGTTTGCAAACAAAGATATCCTTCTCTTGTTATTCTTACTCTATGATTTCATACTGTATTACACAACGGCTTCACAGTTTCTTATTGGGCATCTTGTTTGAAAACAAAGAGATCCTTCTCTTGTTTTTCTTACTCTATGATTTCATATTGTAGATTCGTGGTTTCATGGAAGTCAAAGAAAGAGACAAACTGTTCATAGATCCTCCACTGAAGAAGAATACAGCATTGCATATTAAATTATTAACACAACCAAGTTGTGTATAACAGCTTTTAGACTAAGACTATAAACCATATTTTTGGGTATTTATTAGTACAATGGTTAAGTTAAACAGAGAGTGGTTAGTGAAAAAAATCACTCAATTAAAATAAGAATATTACCTTGTCAACAATGAGCTCACATTGAGTGCCTTTGCCTGAAGCAGGTGCACCAGAGATCATCACTTTCAGTGGCTCATCTACCGAACACCTAATCTATAAATTCCCAAACACATTCTCCAAATTGGACATGAAATTGAATCGGAACGAGAGGAAGCAGTAATTAGGGAAAAAAAAGGAACCTGATAAGTGGACGTGGAGAATGAGTGAGAAGACCGGCGGGGGATGACGGAGAAGGAAAGACGACTGCGGTAATGGCGGCGGATCGGTGATCGGAAAAGAGGTAGAGACTGAGACTGAGACGGAGAAAGCGATGAAGTGGAAACGGAGGAGCGAGACGGAGTTGAAAATAAATGAGCGGAACTAAGAGAAATAGACGCCATTGTTAAATCCTCTCCTTTGCTTTTCTCACCCTTTGGATGATCAAATACAAACTATTCCTGGAAATGGAATTTAACGGCCACCACACATATACTATGGCCAAATTTTAATGAAAAAAATATTGTGTTTTGGAGAAAGAAAATCTCAAATGTTTGTCGTATCCGTTATGGGTTGTTTCTTTCTTCTTTTTTTTTTTTTTTTTTTTTTAAACTAGAAGGTTCGGTTTGTTCTTTTGGTTTTAGGATTTTAGAGAGTAGATTCCCATTTGGAATTAAATTTTATATCGGTTTTTGCGCGGTTTGGTTTTTAATAATTTTGGGCGGTTTGGATTGTATACAGTAAAACCTCTATAAATTAATAATGTTGGGACCATGATATTTTATTAATTTATCGTGATATTAATTTATCTATGAAAAAATTTGTTTTCTGTATATAATTTTTTAAAAATTTCTTTGGAATAATGTTATATTTTAAAATTTTTACAAAAATCTGATAATATAAATTATAATTAACAATCATAACTATCACAAAAAATAGTTTTTAACACCATATTGGATTGTCTATGTTAAAATATACATGTTCATAAATTAAAAATTTATAAGAAAATTATGGCTACTATCAGTATTATTGATGATAAAATTGAAAATAATATTACAATACATTTAAAAATATTTACAAGTAAGATAATCAATTATCACATCAAAAAATCATAATAAAATTTGAATGTATGTAGTAAAACAACATTAAGAGCTACTGATATAATAATTAGAGAAATGAGAACCAATGAAATTTCAACTTTAAGTAAAACCAAATACATTAGTCATATTTTAAAATATTATGTTTACATATATTTGCATAAATTTATATAATTATTAATTTATGTTCTTGTTGGGACCATATATTTACTTAAGAATTTCAAAAAAAATTATTATCTTATTATCTTATCGAATTTGATGCATTTTAACATTGGCCCGACTTGGGACCAGCAACATTTATTAATTTATAGTGATTATTAATTTATCAAGTATTAATTTATAGATGTTCTACTCTAGTTCGTTTTGGTTTTTGACAAAACTATCATTACATAAGTATAGAAAACTAGTAACTTTTAAATAACTACTAGATTTTACTAGATTTTACATCCACGCTACGCGTTGATAGTTTTTTAGTACTATATAAAATCATATTTAAGCAATCATATTTAAGCAGTTATATTTATTTAAATATAATTTATTGTAATAAAATTTATCAAAAGTAATTCAGTTTTAATCTCAAAATTTATATATAGCTTTTGAGATTTCAATGATCTTGTTTGTATTTTTATATGTGTTATTTAAAAAACATATTATTTTGTTGAACGCTTAACATTTTGTATACCAAAATCAACTTAAAATATAACAAATTAATTAAATAGTAATTAGTTAGTATTAACACAAAGATAAATACTATACATCACTTATTAGTCAAGAAAAGAAGTTTTTTTCATTAGTTGCCCTTGTTATATATGTTTTTATGAAAAATTAATAAAATTAATAAAATTAAAAATTATTCTATTTTTTTTAGCTAGTTTAGTCGATACAAATTTTTGATTTATTCTAAATTTAAAAATAAATTAATAAACACAATTTTTACTTTCATATATTTTTAGTAAATAAATATAAAATAACATTTAAAACTATTTTTAAATCACAAAGATCGATGAAATCTATATAAATTTTAGTCAATTTTATCTTAAATTGGTAAATACCAAACCTTTTGTCTACTAACATATTGTGTGATAACTTCTAAATGATTTTTTATTGACAACCAAGAAAGATAAAAAATTTCACCTTATTTTACTGTTTTAATGAATACAAATTATACTTGATAGCATTTAATTACCCTTTAATAAACTATTAAATTAATTTTTAATATATATTAAAATAGATTTCACAAATTTATTGTCACCTTTAAATTATATTTAAACCATCAATTATCTCCACATAATAATATATGTGTTGTTTTTTATGTTATAATAAATATTATTTTAAGTTGTTATATAATTTCAATTTGTAGAAATATTTTTAAATTCTCCAAATGCTTGTAAGTTAGTATACTAAAAAGATAACTTAAAACAATAACAAAATAATCAATTAATATTTAATAAAAATAATATTGACACGAAAAAATTAGTATACGTTTCTTTTCTAATAAAAGAAAATAAGATTTTTCATCATCTTCAATATTGTTCTTTTTATATCAGTTTTATAAGAAAACTGAAAAAATTAAAAATTACTTTTCTTCCTTAATTGACTGCATATTATTTTATATCTAAGTAATTTTATATTTTTTTTAAGAAATGTTCTTAATTTAATATTATTTAGTTTTTTTTTTGTTAATAAAAATTTAATACATAATTTCCTTATTCTTTATATATTTTATTTACAATAATATAATTTTTGGAAACTTTCTTAAATTTGAATGTTGGTGTGGACCAATAGAATTGCCCTTTTTTATCCTATGTAGACACTTTTAGAGGCATAGCTTTAAATTTTATCAGTATAAGATAGGATTTTGATTTTAGTATATTTAAATATATTTCTAATAATTAACTAAATGCATTATTTTTTTTTTATTTCAACTCATTCGATTAATATTATGGTTTCAAAAAATTTGATTTCGATTTTGTAACGGGTAATTCAGTATAAACATTTCTATTTCATTCATATTATTACTCTCTAAAACTTAAAATCTTATCAAGATGGTTTTAGCTTTAAATGAGTCCAAACATAATACTTTTAGTCAGGGCCAACCCAAAGTCATATGACGCCTAAAGCACACTTTAAAAATGATGCCTTTAATTAAAATAATTTTACAACATTTTTTTTTTAAATATAAATCAAAATCATTGATTTTTTGGCCTAAAACCGATTTCTTTAGTTTTTTTTTGCCTATAACAATTTTTTTTTTAAAAAATCAATCCTAAAATCAAATTCTTAAGGTCTAAAATTGAATTTTAAAAAAAATTTGTTGATTTATAATTAAACCCAATAATAAGCCCACAATTTTCTTGAGGATAAAGAGTGGATGATGACTCTTATTTATAAGTAAATTTTTTTTTCTATCTTTTTGGCTTCATTGATATGGGACAAAGTTTAATACATATTTTTTTTTACAAAAAAATTATGAGCTAAGAGATATTTCTAAAATAATAACCTAGATTTTTCTCTCCAAACTTTCCTTATTCGTCTCCTCCAAGCAACCTCAATCCTGGCCTCTACGGCCATGGGATTCACGCAGCCGGCAACGAATCCGGCCTCTACTCCCTGCTCAGCCTCTCCACCATCTCAGAAATCACCATGGTCTGGTCAACTAGCAAACAACCCAGTCTTCTGTTTCGTGCGACGTCGTCAACGGCATCGCTAAAGCCTCCATCCCAAAAGAAATCCTTACAAATGCTCAGCCTCTCTGGACAAATTATATTGTCGGCTACTTCATAGGCGACGCTCCCCACATAGGGAAGGTAAACGCCACTGTCAACAGAATTTGGTCTTCACAAGACAAACCCTCCAAAATTGATGCTCAATTCATCAACGCCAAAACGGTCCTTTTTAGGATCGATAACGCTCAGATCCGGGATCGAGTCCTTAAGCGTCACTTCTGGCACATATCGGACATTCCGCTGGTGGTGCAAGAGTGGAACCCGAGAACTTCATCCCATAAGCCAGATCTCTCCTCTATGCCCATCTGGGTGGACTTGCTTAATGTTCCAGATTCCTTATACACGGACAAAGGTCTAATGTTTCTTGGCAACCTCATTGGGGAAGCAAAGACGCTCCATCCGAATACAGAGCGCTGCATAAGACTCGATGTTGCTCGTCTTCTGGTGGTGGTTAACCTCGACAAACCACTACCCGAGAAAATATGTTTGGAATCAGATCCAGACATTGTCATCCCCATCAGTTATCCCTGGCTCCCTCCTCTTTGCTCACTGTGTCTGAACTGGGGTCATCTCGATAAAAAATGCGTACAACTGAAAAAGGGATCACTAATACAAGTTGAAAAACAAAGAGATCATATTCGTGAAAGTCCGATGAGGACTCCGCAAAGCCCTGCATCTCTGCAAGCTAAATTGGTAGAGGAAGATCCAATCTCTCTGGAAAATAATGCAGTGTCAGCTAAGTCAGTAGCATCAGAGGACCCAGCAAACAAGATTGGTTCAGATGAAAGGAAAGTAGAGACTACAGAGATAAAGGAAAGTGAACAGAGTCGACCAAATTCAGTGGTTACGGACTCTTCTGAAAAGACTCATTTCGAGGAAAAGTCTGTTAGGGAGACAGAAACACCATGTACAGAGGTCACAAAATCGAGCAGAAGATCTCCAGCTAAGCAGAACGAATCCGCTCTGCTACACAAAGATTCTCCTTCGCCTTCTAACTTCAACATCCTCGCTAATCTAGCTGATAATGAGGAAGAGTTGGAGGATGGAGAAATAGTGAGTAAAGACGGTGGAGACTTAACAGTGGATGAGCATGGTAAGGAAAATAAGGAGCTCCCTGAGGACCACCTTACACATAAGCAGAACGCTCAGACTGGTGATGCTAATAGGTCCAAACCAAAGGTCGCTAAAAAGCAAAATATCTCAACAAACAATAGACTTCTTTTCCAACCAAAGCAAAATAAGAAAGCTTCAGTAAGGAAGCATTGATGATCATGACGTCCTTTTTTGCGTAGAATACCCGTGGTTTTAACAAAATGCGCAAACATAATGTTGTTCGGTCTTGGGTACAGACTGCACGTCATTCTTTTGGTTGTCTTCTGGAACGTCGTGTTCAAGAAGAAAACAGTTCTGCTATTATTGATAAGGTCTTTTTAGGGTGGAACGCCATTACAAATTATGACTACCACTGTCTGGGTCGAATCTGGGTAATATGGTCTGAAGATGTCACGGTCATCTCGTTGTACAAGAGCCCCAAGTAATCGCCATTGAAGTTTCTTCTTCAAGGGCCCCCTCCTTCATTTGTTCTTGTGTCTATGCGTCCAATTTTAGCAGGGATCGCAGAATCTTGTGGGAGGAATTAAAACATACCA